TCATATTTCTATATATTTATTATATTCCAATAAAAGCTAGGGAATAAGGCTTAAAAAGGACTTTGCAATCGATTATTACTTGGAGAGGTTAGAAGGCGTGTTATAGAGGAATATTCAATTGGATTCCTATGTAGTAAAAAATTGCATTGATATTTTCTTCTTTTCATCACATTTTTCATATTTATAAGACCTTTCACAGTTCGAAAGATAAAAATACAACAGCATCTGAATGATCATATTTTGCCAAAAAGTTGATGTCCACGCTGTTTATGTTTGGTGACTACACGCAAAGGTGGTACTTCGCGGAAACTTTATTTTATATTTATGGGTAGCCTTCGCTAAAAGAGGTAAAATGACTATCCAGATTTGGATAATAAGCCCGAGATAAACTATTCTCATGAAAAACATATTCAGTTTTCGAAATAACTGCAAAGAATGACTATTTGATCATGAGAAGTTTCACATAACGTTAATTGTTTGTCGTAATTACCTGAATTGCACAAAACAGCTTATAATAGGTCTTACCAGTGGATAAAAGAAATGGAAAAAATGTATGTCTGAAATTCTTTTGAATCTTTGGGTTTCTCGCAACGGTAACAGGATTTATAATGTAGAAAAAAGATGAGGGGTACCAAGAGGGTTAAATGGTGTGCTCTTGAACGTATAATTCTCTGCCGTGATATGTTGTTAACATAGAAAATACATGTTCAAGCTAGAAGTATGCCGAGGTTTCAAGATAAGACAATATATACATTGTATACTAGTTGTTTCAATGCTTAACTTGGAGGATAGAAGTTACCATATGGCAGCTCATACCTATTTCACGGTGTATAAAATGTGTTTTCTCTCTTTCATCGTTAAAAAGTTCGGGATAATTATAACATATCCTCCACATACTTTCAAGCCTCATTTGGGTAACCATTAGTCGTAGCTAAAATGATTTAAATGGAGAAAATCGTTTTAATCAATAAAAGACAACAGAAAATCAGTTGAGTTGCTTATGAATAACACATAACACCATTTGTGTCATATAAATATGGTGATAGAATGTTCATTTTCGCGTAAGATTATGTGTTTAAAGTGGTCTTAAAAATTTAAATGCTTTAGCACTAAAGTGTCGATGCTTTGAAGTCTATGATTTTTCCCAGTTTTTAGAAAATTATAAGCGCAACCTAAGCAAGTAAAACTGATTTTCCCATCACTACCTTTCACTTTCGCAAGTGTTTTTGCAATAGCTAGTGAATGAACATTGCATCTATGTACTTCAAGAAAAGAAGAGGGAAATAACATTGTTTTTATGTGGAGTTGAATGCTGCCGCCCATAAATATAAAACAAATACCCTTAGGTTCTCTCCTTGTTGCAATACCAGCTTTCAATTTTTCACTTAACTAGGTAGAAATGACCAAAGTTAATTTTGAAGACTGAACTGACGGACAGCTCAGTTTTTTAGGATGCACAAAGCTCGGAATTTACTGCAGTGAGCTAGTGGGCTAATTATTGATGTAATGTTTGATTAAAAATCACACCCGCTCCCCACGATAGGATCCTATAGCAACATAGCATACATTATAGGGATGAAAATTATTGAAATAAAAAATCAGTCTACTGGGGATTGACATGCCTGCTACGAAAATCATGTCTATTTTTCATTTCATTTTCATTCATATTTCTTATCAAGTCAGCATGCTAGTTACGAAGACAGACATTTTATACGTTATTA